ACTACTAGTATTACTACCACTATTACTACTAGTATTACTACTACTAATACTACTACTACTATTACCACTACTATTACTACTACTACTACTCCTATTATTACTATTACTACTACTATTACAACTTTTATGACTACTACTATTACTCCTAGTATTACTACTATTACTACTACTACTATTACTACAACTATTACTACTACTATTGCTACTACTACTAGTATTACTACTAGTATTACTACTAGTATTACTACTAGTATTACTACCACTATTACAACTAGTATTACTACTACTAATACTACTACTATTACTACCACTACTACTACTAATACTACTACTACTATTACCACTACTATTACTACTACTACTACTCCTATTATTACTATTACTACTACTATTACAACTTTTATGACTACTACTATTACTCCTAGTATTACTACTATTACTACTACTACTATTACTACAACTATTACTACTACTATTGCTACTACTACTAGCATTACTACTAGTATTACTACCACTATTACAACTAGTATTACTACTACTAATACTACTACTATTACCACTACTATTACTACTACTACTCCTCCTAATATTACTATTACTACTACTATTACAACTTTTATGACTACTACTATTACTCCTAGTATTACTACTATTACTATTACTACTATTAATACAACTATTACTACTACTATTGCTACTACTACTACTGTTACTACTAGTATTACTACCACTATTACTACTAGTATTACTACTACTAATACTACTACTACTATTAACACTACTATTACTACTACTCCTCCTCCTATTACTACTATTACTAATACTACTACTATTACTACTAGCATTATTCATCTTTGTTTTTTTATTATAATCTCTTCTCTTCATCGTTGCTGGGAAGGTATTTTTATTAAAAAAAGTCCCTCTTTTTATAGACTTCTTTCTTCTTTTTCTTCTACTTCTTTGTTCTTTCATGTTACTGGAAATGTATCACTTTCTTCATAAAAAAAAGTCCTTCTTCTTTATTGTCCTCTTTCTTCTTCTTGCAATTCTTTCTCTTCTTCGTCCTATTAGTCTTTGTCTGTAAAATATTACTTTCTTTATAAAAACAACATCACTCTTTTTATCGTCTTCTTTCTTCTTTTTCTTTTTTCCTTTTTTTTCTTCTTCTTTTTCTTCATCTCCTTCTTCATATTCTTCTTCCTTTTTTTATTCTTCTTCAACTTCTTATTTTTCTTCTTCTTCTTCATTTCTTTCTTTATCTTCTCCTTCGTCCTCTGCTTTTTCTTCTTTTTCTTCAACTTCTTGTTATCTTCCTTGTTCTTCATCTCTTTCTTCTTCTTCTTTTTCTTCTTCTTCTTCTTCTTCTTCTCCTCCTCCTTCTTCTTCTTCTTCTTCTTCTTTCTTCTTCCATCGTCATTTCATTTATCTCTTTTTTGTCTACACCCCTTATCACCGTTTGTTCCCATTTGGCATTATTATTTTCATCCTTTAACTTTCGTTATGATTTCCTTCTCTTCATCTCTGGCGTTTAATTATTTTCTTTCTCTCTTCTTTAGCTTTCTCCCCCACCCAGGAAGATACGTTATTCTACAAAAAATATATATTAATATTTTAACGTCTTTTACTTTCTCCAGACTACTGTTATTCCATTTTCCTCTTCCCATCTTTCTCTCCATACTTTCTTTTCCCTTTTACTCTCCAAGTTCTTTCGCAGACGATAATCATTGAATCAATGACGCGCCATTACATGTTTAAGTGGCAAATTTCTGTACAAAATGGCGGCGGCTTTGTCATCAGCGTTTATTTCATTTGAAATCCATTATATCTTTGTTTATATTTTTATCAATTATCTTAGTTCTTTCTTCTTTTACTTCTTTCATCTTTGATTCCAATCCACGTTGTCAGCTATAATTTTATTCTATCTTCTTTATTATTTTTACGGGCTTTTTTATACACATTTTTGTCTCACTTGCTTGAACATCCGTTCTTTTCCCATAATCCTTCAGTGCATTTCCGTAGAGATTTGTTCTTCATTATTATCTATGGCAACTGTAATAAAATTACTGATACATGCTCAGTACAATACGCGGTCAAACGGTGGGACATAAAAGCAGGAAAAGTCTGTTATGGCCATCTTTTACCCTAGATCGACATGCCTGCCTTGAAAAGAAGCATTGGAAATCATGTTATTCGTTGTTGTGAAAGTCAGTCTGGGGGCCAATGTTGCATACCTGATTATTTCAATTTCGATTAATCCAAAATAACACTCAGGTATGACTAAGGATATCCTATTTCGTAGTTCATGGTATAAAAGAGCTTAGTGTAAACTATACTCACCTTATTCTAGTTTATACCCACTTTTTTTTAACTAGAATATTACATGTTGGCTCTAATATATGGTATAATGATTGGAATCTTTCAAAGTCAACTTGGTAAGTATGAGCATGTTCTTTGGGAGACATTTGAGCCTTAAGCACACGGCTGACCTCATGGAACTCGTACATACGATCCATCGCTAAAAGTGGTCGATCGCCTGCACCAATAAGTACTCATCGTGCTATCCTTTATATATTTACAAAAGACAAATCAGGACTAAAATAGAGCTATGTAATCATATTTGGGCAATAAAAACCCAGTCCTCACTCAGTTTTGATAAAGTCCAAAACAGTATCCGGGGCCTTGTGGGTGATAAATTATTTCCCGTCCTCCAACTTCTCACTCTCAAAGATTGGATGTGGTAAGCCTCTCACTATTCTGTCGCTACTTCCATGGAAACTGCTCGAACGAAATTTATTCCTTTGTTTCGCCAGTTCTAAGGCCCGTCATGGCACTTACATTGTCGCAAGCTATCCAAATCCCATGCATCGGCATAAACTACCTATTACTCTGTAACCCCTAACTCGAGTGAGCCCCGGACCTTGTATAAGGTGAACCTCATTCTCAGTTTCTAATAGGGCTAGCCTTATTCAAAATCAATAGGCATTCAGAATTTAAGGTTAGTAATGCAAGGAATCGGAATAAGACAGAGGGCTGTAGAATGTACACAGGTAATGTCTGCGGACGTGTGACCGCACGAACCATATTATTCCCGTCTATCAGTCGATACAATGAGAATAAAGTGTATTTGGATCTATGTAGGATACCTTAACACTTTTATAACCTGTAGAATAAACTGGCCTAACATAACTTATCATAGAGTTTCCTCCTTTATTTTTAATCAATTCACTCGAAGCAACGCAATAAAAGTCACTAATTCACAGGAGCTATTAAGTATGAAAGAATATGAGAAAATACTTTTAAAAAAATAGTAATTAAAGGAGAGAAAATTAAAAGAAAAGAAATTAAGAAGTCAGAAGGTAAATTTAAATTTTTAAAAAGCAAACCTGATTGGAAAACAAGAAGCTAAAAGTGAGCTTCACAGGGGAGAAGTACGATAGAAGATACTGTTAGTATAGAACTTACGGTTACATCTAGTTATTTATTTTAATTACGGTAAAATGGTGAGGCCTTACCGCCAATCTAGTAGCGTGCATAAATTAGTAAAGTCGATGTACCAAAGACGAAAGTTCATCAAAACAATTGCGTAACGGCTGTCGGAAAGTGATCGACGCCAATTTTGTCAGACTGTTAAATTATTTTTACGAGGAGGCACGGTGGAGTAATGGATAGCGTCTCCGATTGGGGAATCCTAGTCTAATCCATTACATTCACTTACTTGCTAATACCCTTGTAATCGTCTTTTTCTCCACCGCAGTTATGGGTAAATAGCAGCCTGTTTCATGCTAGATGCAATCGTCAGGCCTGACGATTGCATATAGCATGAAACAGATTGTCTAAGTGTTGACTTCTATGTTCACTTTTATATTTACACACGCTATCTCTGATATTGAGCACTGTATCCCATAAATATAACACATCTTAAGACTATATTTCTTCATATATATATATATATATATATATATATATATATATATAGATAAAAAGATAAAAACCCTCGAGCGCATAGACTTGGAGCGGGTAGAATGGAGATCAACGTGTTTTAGTAGACTCAGCGGTTTTCAATCTACTTGTCTGAATCCTCTTCAAGAAGCGAGAGCAAGATCTAAAAGGTCAGCCAATCTAACAGAGATCTTATCTAACAATCCTCACTTTTGCTCCATATGTGGCTTGCTTTGTAAATCACTAGCGGGTCTTAAGTGCTACTTAAGATTATCGCACAAAATTTCATAACTGAATCAATAAGCTGTCAGATCCTCATATGTCGCAACCATGGGAGAGCTCATTATGATATATATATATATATATATATATATATATATATATATATATATATATGCAGTCCCTTAACATTGCCGATTCCATGGCTACAACACTACAACTATTATTTCTGTAATGATGAATTTTACAGTTGATTTTGTTAGCCTCGCTTCCAAACGATTTGGAATTTGGAATTTTCCTACACCTAAACTGCTTACTAATTTAGACTAAACCTCCCAGTGTACTCTTTTATTTAACTTATAAGGGGAGATATGGATTCATGCCTTACCAAGATTATTTCTGCGAAATCGTATGTAATGACCTCGTTTGAATCGTATGTAATGATCTCGTTTGAATCTCAAAATGATCTCCATAATTACTAAAATACGCGTAGTTATGATTAGTAACATTGGAATTTCGAACCGAAACCTTTACTTCCTGTACCGAAGTAGATTATTCTAGTTCCATGTTCCATGCCCCTTCCAGATGTCTCAGTTATTTCCCTTTAACTGAACTCTCTAAGTTTTTGCTTCACCACTGCAAGTTTTTGGTCCTAACCAACGTCTTTATCCACCGGCCCATGTGTCCTTGTAACCTCATAACCCAGTGAATAAAGACGTTGGTTAGATCCAGTGACTAGATCCATAGATATGTGTGTTCAATACCAGGCCACATCATATTAGATTTAATTTCTCCATTTCTTCTTTTCTGTATTCCTTCTTTCTGTGGACGTACCACAATATGGTTCCCGTACGAGTACCGAAGTTAAGCAACGTCGAGCCTGGTCCGTACCTAGATTAGTGACCGCTTGGGAATACCAGGTGTTGTAGATTTCAATGGGCGGATGGTGTGAGGGAAAGTTGTGAATCTAACTTTTGTTTCCTATCTGGTAAAACGTGTATCACTAAAACTATTGTTATCTAAAAAAATGCTTGCAAAATATTTGGATTTATGTCTTAAATAACCCATAAATGTGTTGATATGCCGCCAAACAAAAATCACCATCCACTCTTCTTTCGAATGTTTAACATGTTTCTGTCTTTTCTTTTTTTTTTTTTTTTTATCCTCTAAGATTTTTTTTTTCCAGTTTCTGTTCTTCACTTTATATACAATTTTCAACGTTTCTTCTTCCGGACAAGCTATTCTTTTTATCCCCTCTCTCTTGTTTGTCTTTTTTTTTATCTCTTTCTTTCTTTCTTTCTTTCTTTCTTTTTTTCTTTCTTTCTTTCTTCTTGTGTTATTTTGAAAGTATTACTTTCTCTATAAAAAAACAAAATACCTCTTCTTTATTCGTCCTCTTTCTTCATCATCGTTTTCTTTGTCTTCCTTCCCATCTCACTCTTCTTCTGCATGCTCTCCTGTGACTGTAACGGTATTACTTTCTTTATAAGAACATAATCACTACTACCTTTCTCGTCCAATTTCTTCTTCTTCTTCTTCTTCTTCTTCTTCTTCTTCTTTTTCTTCTTCTTCTTCTTCTTTTTCTTCTTCTTCTTCTTCTTCATAATCACCATGTACTTCTTTTTTGTTATCGTTCTTTTTTCTCTTCTTCGCTGTTTTCTTGTGTTTCTAGGAAGGCATTACTTTCCTTATAAAAACAAATTCCCTCTTCCTTAAGAGTCCTTCTTCTTCTTCTTCTTCTTCCTCTTCTTTATCATCATCTACTTCTTTTTCGTTCACTTTTTTCCTTCTCTTCTTCTTTTTCTTCTTCTTCGTTTTCTTGTGTTTCAAAGAAGGCATTACGTTCATTATAAAAACAAATTCCTTTTTAGTTCTTCTTTTTTTCTTCTTCTTCTTCTTCTTCTTCTTCTTCTTCTTTACCTCGCGTTACTGGGAAGGTATTTCTTTCTTTACAATAAACAAAATCCCTCTTCTCTTCTCATAGTCTTTCTTCTTTTTTTGTTCTTTTTTATTATCATTTTAAATTTATTTCCTTCTACTTGCACTTCTTCATTACGACACGCTTTTTCATTCAACCGTTTTTTTTTTCATTCACCCGTCTCTTTCTCCCACTTTTTCTACACAGTTTCCTATTTTCTAATCTTCTCTTCGCTTTTTTTTTACTTCCTGTTCGCCACCATTTTTCACTGTTTGTTTCGATTTCCGCTTTCTCCCTGGATCTGTATTTTTTTTTTTTTCATTTCTCAACATTTTTTAAAATGTTTTTCTTGTTTTTTGCCTTCTCTTCAATCTGATAGTTTTGACGATTAATATTCAGATATCGACATCCAGAAAAAAAAAACTCCTGCTTTTCTCTTTAGTTTTTCTCTGTTTTTCTTTTTCATCTCGTTTTATACGCTTGCTTTGTTTTGCGACAAACATCAAAAGGCTTTGACAACTTAAAAAAAATAAACGAGGGAAAATATTTTAAATGAATTAAAACAAAACCACAAATAAAACGCAAAATATTTGAAATAATATTTTAAAATACAAAAAATCAAAGGCAATATTTGGGTCAATTTGATTAAACTGTACAAGATACGTCGTTTTAACTACGATACATGATCTGTTTCTGTCAGACAGTTATGTGCCATGCGTGACACACGCTTAGGTAATCATGTATCTTTCAATACATGACTGATGAAGCAGATTTTTTTTCCCGGTTGTATGTTACCATTTCTTTCTGCGGTAGACCAGTTGCCATCCAAAACAGGTCTGTACTGCTATTTACCCATAGCTGGGGGAGAAGAATAGGATTATATATTTCCCAATGGTTTTAATTCCGAGCCGCTATGTATTACTCCACCGTGCCTCCACCAATATGATTTAAGTACAGATATATGCTGGCTTCATTTGCTATTGTAAATCTGGCCATTCTACAGTCGTATGTACCCTAAGAAATTCTCAAGAAACGCTAACTCCTAATTTCCTGTTTTGTTTATATATATATATATATATATATATATATATATATATATATATATATATATATATCTGTGTGTGTCTATATTGTATCACGATTTGCTATTGTACCTCTAGTTATTCATTTGTCTTACAGGTTAATATCAGGACAGTCTGTGCCGTCTCCTCTTGGTTGGCAAACATTCTAGGAGATTTTCTAAGCGTTGCTTAGATGTGGCACAAGGCCGAAAGTATGGGGCATCTAGTGAGAATCGAACTCACTTTTCAGTAGTAACTGATCTAGCGAGACAAGCTTGGTAACCATAACACCACGCAGAGTTGCCACACTCTAGGAGAATAGCTCTGAATTCAAAACCTGTTAGGCTTTCCAATAACAACTCTACCTCGTAAAGAAGCCACAGCTACGTCTAACTTGATAAGGCTGTGATACTGTCTCCATCGGGAATTCTAATGATACTAAATATCTAC